AATAAGCCTTCCATCCCATAAGAAAACTCGCAGAGAATGCACTAGCGCTAGCCTACCATTACTACCAATAAATATCTCAAGCCAAGAGGACCAAAAATGTACATGTACAGCACTGGTTCCTTTTGCTTCTGCGTTTGACAGGACATACCCCCCATCCCACCCAACCACCCACAAACACCTACCCACACACAGACACACAGACACAGACACACACACACACACACACACAAACAAACACATACACACACACACAAAAACACACACACACACAAACAAACACATACACACACACACACACACACAAAACACACACACACACACACACACACACACACACACACACACACACACACACGTTTCAGTTTCTCTCTCGGCTGGTTATATAACGTATACATATTATATGGTAGTCCCGTAGTCCCCATGATCAGATGTGTGGACTTTGTCAAAAATGATGAGGCTGAGCTTTTGTGCCCTGGTGACTTCGGACATGATATCTTTTGTTTTGTGCAATAAAATCTGATGTCAAAACGTCATTGAGCGACTTTCGATTTCAATAAAAACGTATTTTGTGCACTTTGGTAAAATACTGGCGTTCAAGTGAAAGGTACCACGTTTTGATTGAGTGAAAAATCTTAACCTTTGTGGCTTTACGCTTTTTCCTTCAAGGGAGTAATGTTAAGTAGTCTAAAAGTAGGCCATGTTATAAAAATAATATTTTGGTGCTTCAGTTAGCATTCACAGCACGAACACACACACACACACACACACACACACACACACACACACACACACACACTCACACACACACGCACACACACACACACTCACACACACATATACACACACACACACACACACACACACACACACACACACACCCGGTGCGGTGCCACTGACTGAAGTGTCTTTAGGCCATTCCCAAAAGGGGGGACATTTCTCGTTCTCATGCACAGAAGAATTGTAAATGGGCTGATCCAACCATGTTATGCTCCTAACTGTGCCTGAACTACAACAGGGAAGTGCTACTTTTTCTTTCCTAATTCTTACTATCGTCATTTTCCTCTACGTCTTTTGTATGTTTGTCACACTCTTGTGACGCGCTATTTCCGGGGTGCCTTGATAGTCGAAGCAGACTTTGTGCTGTTGAAGCTAGAGAGGTGAGCAGAGTAAGTCTGATTCCCTGTAAAGACTTCTCTGTTGACATCCACCCCTTGGCGCTCATATGACCTTATGCAGTTGCGAGCGCCATAAAACCTCTACTAAAACTACCCCCCCCCCCCACACACACACCAAAAGAGGCGTTCTTTCCCGACCAAGTGGTGATTTTTTTTTCTATTCTATATTCTAAAAGAAATGAAGTTTAGGTCTTAGTTTAACAAAAACTGAAGTGACATTTGATCATCATTGACACTCAAGAGAGATGGTAGGTTTTCTGTTGACGTTGAATGTCCTGGCCACAACAGACACGCGCGGAGTACGCGGATGGCTTGCTTTCTCTGATAATAATGATAATAGATAGCATTTGTACAGTATAGAGCGCATCTCCGCTCAACAGCAAGCTCTATGCGCTTCACAATCTATGCTATTACCCCAAGGGTATCAAATACCTAACATCTTTCTTGGGTGATAATGATCAAACGTTATTGTGGTTTGTGATAAACAAAGACCTAAACCATTTAAAAAGAAAAAACAAAGAATAGAAGAAAAAAGAAATCCGCTTTGTGGTCGGGAAAAAATGCCACAGGCAGAAACGTGCAACGAGACACGAGACGCCCGGCCGTAGCGCGTCACATGACGTAAAACAAAAAGTTGTTCTCTGCTGATCGACAGTCTAACCTATGATGTAACCGTACTCCAGAAACGCGACGTGACTAGGGTATATAAGTAGACATCATGTTCAGTCGTGAGATTGCGGGTTCTGGGGTTCGAGGGTCAGCTCAGTCCGACGATGTGTCCTTGGGAAAGGCAGCACTTTTCACGAACGTTCCATTTGGCACGGTCCTTTTGGAGATGTACATTAACCTTGGAGGTCCCACCATGTGCAACAATCTATTCTTTTTGTTATATTTTTAAGTGTTTTACGGCGCTCGTAATTGCAAAAGGTCATATGATGAGCGCGTACAATCTTATTTTCTCTAGATGACACACGTTGCAGGTGAGATCAGGATCGGTTCTTCAGATATATATATATATATATATATATATATATATATATATATATATATATATATATA